AAGGCAAGCGCTAACTTGGAATCCTGAATGGAAAAGGAAAAGAGGAAGGCCAAAGAACATATTACGTTGGAAAATAGAAGAAGATATGAAAAGGATGAATAACAACTGGAAAGGATTGCCCAGGACAGAGTTGGATAGAGAATGCTAGTGGGTGGTCTATGCCCCTCCATGAGTGGGTAACACGTGTAAGTAAGTAATGATTCAGATTTGTTAACTGATCAGTTAAGATTAAATGAACTTTAAATAATCAGTTTATTTATATCAGATAGATATTTTAAATCAAGCATCTAAAACATGATAAATCATAGATTTTTTTATATAAAGGGATTAAACAACCAATTCGGACTCACATATATATAGTAATCATAGTTATAGTAAACAGTAATTCCATAAAACAATACGGATTATAATAAAATCAATAAAATAGTAACATTGTATAAAAAAGGAGAATTCAGTGAAGGAAAACAGGATATAAAACAATCACTAGTTCTGTACAGAACCATTTCATCAACTATGAAGCGATTACTTCAAATGATTCTTCTTTAAAAAATAATGACACATTTAATTTATATTTGAATTAATTTAAAGTAAATAAATAAATAAATAAATGCAAAAATTGATCATTTACAACCAGTTTATTCCTTGAACCGGATTCATTAAACTAATAATAATGATAATTCCAAAAAAATTGAACTTTAGTTTATATAAGAGAAATAGTTGGTCTGTTATAGTTAATAAATAGTTCAACTTTGTAATAAATGGCATAATCAATTTTAATTTTTGTTTTATTTTCTTTTCTTTCTTTCTTAGTTATTTATTTCATGAAGACTAAATAAAGATTGTGTAGTTGTTCGATTATTTTCTTTTATTTTGATAAAGATGTAGAATTTTATCTTGTAATGATCACGTAACTCCTGGAAACAATAGTTATAATTGAATACGCATTTTAAATTGTTTCTTTATTGTGAAATTCCTATAAGTCAACAATATGTCAACATTTAAATTATCAAACATGTATATATATATAAGTATGACTGACATATTTTCAATTATGTTGTCACTAGTAGTAGTAGTAGTAGTAGTATCTGTATTTGATAAACATACTGACTAGTTAGTGTAATTGTTATTCTTATTTTTGTTACAAGATGATAGACATTATCATAGTAATATGAAGATACTTTTGTTTTCTAGATAAATAAATGAATTTTATGCACAAACATGTACATTACATTTTGTATAAGTGTAGACTAATTTTGTCTACTGTTATTGTACAGCAGTTGGCTATTTATTTTTTTTCTATATTTGTTTTCTCTAGTGCGACACTTTTTTTATATACTTATGACTGAGGAATTAGACTTCGATTCCAGGTTAATGGAATGTTAATTTTTATGTATAGTATTTATACATCCCTATCACTTTTGTTAGGAAATGTACAATTGAGATTCTTTGTATCCATTTATGTACACATTGAAATGTATATGAATGAGAGAAAAAGATTAAATGAAGTGTAGGTAGATAAGCAGAAATAAATTGAATCAAATACTATGAGTTATTTTCTTTCTAATATATTCCTTATACTACTTAAGAATCACTTTCATTTTTGTGCCAAAGGAACACAATTTATACTTTAGAATTTACTTCATAGTAAACATAAGAATGCGTTGTTATGTGTGCTGATTTGTCTACAACATTCACTTCTACTGCCACTGTAAATTTTATCACCTATGTGTGTGTATATGTCTATATATATTAGTAGCATAATGATATTCATTCTTGTAAAATGTTATACAATCAATGGGCTTTAATAGATGATAGGGTAATATGTTATTTTTATCTCATTTTTCACCGAATATGAATAATGTTTCCAAATGTTTTAATAAATGTTTAGTTGTCCAGACATCTTGAACTGTAGTTTATGATATAGTGTACGTATGCATTTATGTGTTTGTGTAGTTCTATATATGCCTATAATAGGTAACAGGATCATTAGTTGAACAAAAGGGTAAAGTAAATATATATGCGCATAGATTTCAATTTATTATTTCAATGGTATTTTGCAAATAATACATATACACACGTATTATTCCAGCAGTTTAAAAATCCCCATAGAATATTAAAAAATGAAGAATATTTGAGTGAACTGTAAAACTATTATACAGAGAGTTCTTCAACATGTAAATTTTACTAACTTATGCGTTTTAATAACATTCAGTTATCTAGCAAAAATTCGTAAAACCTAACTACTAATTTGAGATCCAAGCTTTTTCTAGATGAACAGAAGAATTCACTGTTGTACAATTAATGGTAAAGAAAACAGGATCAAACAGCCTTCTATTTCTTTACTAACTTTTTAAGCAAATAATAATAGTTAGCAAATATGGTAACTATTGGTTTTATGAGTAGCATTTATTCTAAATAATCAGCATTTAATGCAAAATATTTGAACTGATAAGTTCAATCATATGTATATAGACGTCAAAAGTATTCGCTAACTAAACTGATTATTGTAAAAATTGGAATTTTGATTCATTAACTTGTTCTTTTCCCTCAGAATTTTATTCATCAGGTTCGATAAAACGATCTCGTCTCCTAACATGTAATTATGTAGACGCTCAGTCGTCAGGGATCATGATTCAATCTAGTCACTATAATCTTCAATTATAATTTTTATAATTGTATCTTTCAAGGAAATATGCACCAGTAAGTGAATCTTGAATTTCATTTTCATCGCAGCTAGTTTAATTCTCAACACACTCTTTAAATACATAATACACGGTGAGCTGCGATTGTTTTTAGTGTAAATTAAAATAAAATCGACTTTTACTTTGGTTGCAAGTTATGTTCTATTTTCCTGACGACTGTACAAGTTATGCTAGAATGAGACAAATCTTCCAGTTCCCTTAGTGAGCACACATGTATTGACATTATCAATCTTAAATGTAAAAAGTTCAGTTTCGTTTACCTGTGATCAATTAATATTCAGTATTAGTATAAAAGAAAACTAGTGAGGTACTGTGTGCTCAGTGTTTGAAATATGTACTTCATCGGCACGTGTCAAATGAGACAAGTGAAAACGATGTTTAATAACATCTACAATAATGTTAATCAGGTAGGAAAACCGATTATTATTTGAAAATTGGTGATGAACAACATGAAACAATTAATTTATTTATGTTTCTTAAGTCAATCAAAAATATTTTTTTCTTTTGACTATGAACTTCAGTTATCTAATTTATCTAGTCAGTCTGAGAAATCGCTTTTTTATCTGTCAAACATGATATCATATGTCAATTCAGATTTATGAATCTAGTCATAGATTATTGAAGATAAATGCATAAATAACCTGAAATCTGAGGTAAAAACTTCTGATAACAAACAGATAACAGCTTGTTGATTGCTAGATTAAAGTTGAACAATTAGATTACGATTACTTCTAATATTTCAATAATTATTTAGTTGTTTAAAACATCAAATTTCAAATCGTTGATAATATTGACGAACATGTGAAAAGTGAAAAGTCAGTGGTCATCAAGGTATGTCACTATGTCCACAAAGAATATGTTAAGCCTCAAACAAAATCTGGAAATTAAGGTTGCTGAAATTTGAATGGATTACGTAACATGAGCGATGTTTCTGCAACGATAAATTGAAAATCTTCCTTCAATAAATTTTCATTATTCTTTGAAAACATTTGGATCACAACATATGATTCCGTAGTGGAATAGCAATTACTCTGTAGATTGGTTTCGAAATTTCTTTTACACAGCCATTTACAAGGATTTGGAAGTGAAATATAACGAGTATCAGTTAACAATTTTCTAGTGTTGAATTATAGTACAAAGTATCACTGATTCTTTGAAAAAAAAGCGATGCTTTTGTTGCAGTTTAGTTGTCACATAAAAATTACTACTTTTCTCATTGACATAGAATCCTAATTATTAACTGGCAAGTGATGACAAAATTGTTTTTCATTTGTATTCTTTTATTAAGTTATAGGAAAATGAATCATCAAATACCATCATTACATTTGAATTACTTACTCTTACAGTATAAGGTTTCTCTTTCATCTGCATAAAGTTTTTTCATTGCTAACTGAAGATGAGTCGGTTGTCATTAGGAATTCTTATTTCATCTGGTTTCATCTTTGTATGTCGGTATCTTTAAAATATTTTGTTGCTTTTTTTCATTCAAGTATAAAGATATTAGGTGGGATTATTTCGAATTAAGGAGTGAAATAACGAATACTGAAAAATGTTATAAAATATTGTCACGCATTACTGTTTTTTTATACCTTCCTAGATATGTTTGGATATTAGTCGGTTTTATCGTTCGTTTTGCATGCTATTCATCATTTAATTTACTC